TTCAGTATGGATTACATAACAATGTAAAGAAAACAAAAATCCTCACCACTGGACCAATAAACAACATTTTTTATCAATGGAGAAAAGATTGAAGTTGTCAAGGACTTCATTCTTCTTGGATCTACTATTAACACTCATGAAAGCAGCAGTCAAGAAATCAAACGACATATTGCATGAGGCCAATCTGCTGCACAAGACCTTTTTAAAATGTTGAAGAGCAAAGATATCAGCTTGAGGAATAAGGTGTGCCTGACCCAAGCCATGGTATTTTCAATAACCTCATATGGATGCGAAAGCTGGGCAGCGAATAAGGAAGACCATAGAAGAATTGATGCTTTTGAGTTATGGTGTTGGAGGAGAATATTGAAAGTGCCACGGGCTGTTAAAAGAACGAATCGATACGTTTTGGAAGAAGTGCAGCCAGAATGCTCCTTGGAGGCCAAGATGGCCAAACTTGGTCTCTCACACTTTGGACATATTGTCAGGAGGGACCAGTTGCTGGAGAAGGATATCATGTTTGGAAGTGTGTAGGGTCAGAGAAAAAGAGGAAGACCCCCAGAAAGATGGATTGGCAAAGTGGCAGTATCTATCAATGGGCTCAAGAGTGGCAACGATATTGATGTTGGACCAGAATCTGGCAGTGTTTTGTTCTGCTGTGCATAATAAAGTTGCTATGGGTCAGTACCGACTTGATGGCACCTAACAACAACTACCACCATCACCAAGACTTATAGGAATGGAGAAAAAACTTTGAAAAGAGAATACACATCTATTTCTAAGAACTCATTATTACAGATGAAAAAGATAAGCTTTGGGAAAAATTTATATAATGTATTGAACAGCTTATTTAGATACACTCAAATCAAAGTCTATTCTTTCAATGGGCAAAAAATTTGTCTTACTAATCACCTGAAGTTAGTGATTGGAAAGACACATAGTTGTTTGTTTTGATAGTAACTCTTTTAAAAAAAAAACATTGTCATGGAGAAAAAAACAGCTTCACTAACATATATCATTAATGTGTCATCTACATACATAAATATACGTATTTTTAATGCACAATTCTATGGTTTTTAGCATGTTGTTGTTGCTAAAGGTCGTTGAGTTGATTCCAACTTATAAAGACCCTGTATAGGATTTCCAAGGAGCGGCTGGTGTGCTTCTGAAAGCAATTATCTTAATCTAATTTTAGAACATCTTCATTCCTCTTAAAAGAGACTCACTCCTTATTCTTCCTACTTGCAGTCATTCCCTGTCTCCCCCTTTCTACCAACTCCAGGTGAAATAATTGTAAAAGCATTTACAATTTATAGCTTTAGAATTTTTTGTTCCTAATCTAAAAATTGAGATTGGCGGTTCCAGAGGATAAGCACTGCAATGCAAATCACAAGTTCAATCCCACCAGTTGCTCCACAGGAGAAAGATGGCTTTCTGCTCTTGCAAAGATTTACAAGCCTTGGAAATTCCAGAGAGGGGAGCTATGAGGTAGAACTGACAAGATGGCAGTAACAACAAAAATCCAAATATATTGAAGTTGTCTCAGATTTGGCACTGAAATAACAGGGTCTCTAAAAATACAGTAAACCTTAAATCTAATTTTATATTATTCTTACATTAAAAATCTGTTTATATTTGCCAACACTATTTTATATAGCTTTGATTAAGTTAAATTTAAAACTTTGGTGTTATCTTCATTCATATTCTCGTAATCTTTCTCATCCTTTCATATATTTTAGGAATAAGTATTTTCATATTTCTGTCTCCAAAAGACCTTGGCTTTAGGTTGTTTTATACACAACACATTCTCCACAGATGAATATTGAAGGTATAAGCTATTATTTTATATAATATTCCATGTACGGGGTAGTTAACATAATCTTATACAATTATACAAAAATAGAGTTTCAGATGAGATGAAATGGAAGACTGAGGGATATAAGGAAATAGTGAAATGCAAAAGACATCCATTACTAGCATTCTGAAGATGATAATGACTTGAAGACATAATAATATCAAATTACTCATTTGTTTGGGGTGCTTTTTGTTTTGTTTTATAATTGTATTTATACAAATACAGCAATACCACTTAACAATGGGAAATATCATCGAACTCAAAACAAATGAATTCTGACTGCAGAGGCTTATGGGTAGAAACATGGACAGATCACAGGCAGAATGGATGTGCGAGGGAGAGTGGGATTACTATACCCCCAAATATATAAAGATTCGAAAGAAGGTATTTGTACATGGGCATCGCCCTTTGCTGCTAACATATCCATGAATGCGGTGGTGGTGGTAGTGTGCCATGGAATCAGTTCTGACTCATAGCGACGCTATATAGGATTTCCAAGGCTGTAAATGTTTATGGGAGCAGAAAGCCTTATCTTTCTCCGGTGGAGCAGCTTGTAGTTTTGAACTGTTGACCTTGTGGTTCACAGCCCGATTCGTAACCACTACGCTACCAGAGCTCCTTACAGTCTACTTTAGAGTGGGGGAAAATGTGGACCAAAACTCAGAATTATAAAGACAACCAGGCTTTCTGGTCAACAAGAGACTGGAAGAACCTAGTATGGCCCTTCAGGCCTTGAACTGAACTCACCTTGGTGGTTCAATTCTCAAGCAAGCAGTAGATAGATATATAGGAAGTACGGTAACACTAGCGGGGTATACAACACCATAGAATGGTCAACCATTCAAGATTAACAGGACAATATTTACTTAAGGACAAAATTCAGAAGGGTTGGGAAAGAAGGGGGAATAGAAACAAGAATCCCAGGGAGGAAGTGGAATAAGTGATGTTACACTGAGGGGATGGCAATCATTGAAATGAAATCAAGTCTGTGATTTGTTAAATGCACACCTAATGCTCTGCTCTATAAACCTTCACTCAATTCACAACAAAGAGTTAAAATTATTATAGTGTGCTAAATGCAGCGAGAAAAGACCTGGTGATTTGCTCCCACAAAGACTTGTTGTTGTCAAGCGCCGTCAAGTCAATTCCGACCCATAGCAACCCTGTACAGCATTTCCAAGGAGCAGCTGGTGAGCTTGAACCACCAACTCTGCAGTTCAAAGGACTTTACAGTCTAATGCATTAGCCCACAACGTCGCACCAGGACTCCTCCATAAAGCTTACAACCTACAAAACTCTACACAGCAGTTCTACTGTCACAAAGATATAAGAACAAAGTTGCACATATCTGTGGATATCCTAAAAGTCAATGAAATATACACCGATGAGTAAACTATATAGTATGTAAATGATACATGAATAAAGCTTTAAAAATAGCATAAAGAAACAAGTAAAACTGTAATATTTTATTTAACCCAATATATCCAGATACTATTACTGAAAAATAAAATCAATATAAAATTACTAATGAAACAGTACACTTATTTTGGTGGGGGATACTAAATTTGTGAAATCCTGTGGATATTTTATTGTCAATTATTTACTTAGCAAATAATTCAAGAAGCTGGACTATATGAAGAAGAATGTGGCATCAGGATTGGAGGAAGACTAACAACCCAGGAT